CGGTCCTGGGCCCGGGCCGGGGCGGGGAAGGAAGGTGGCGGCGGCCCGGCGCAGGGGGAGGGGGGCGCTGACCCGGATGTTCACTCCTGGGCACCCGGGGAAGTGGAAGCGCCGGGTCCTGCTGCGGGGGGGAGAGCCACAGACGCCGGGACCGGGACCGCCGCCGCCGCCGCCACCATGGTAAAGGCCTCACGTCACCCTCCCCAGCCCGGGGGTCCCGCCGGAGCCCGCGTCCCCCTCTTCTCGCTGGCCCCCGGCCCGGGAAGGGTGGGTACCCGGGGGTGGGGGAGGGGCGGGGTCCGGGGCCCTAGGTAGACACCATCCCAACCCACTGGGGAGGGGACCCCCAGGCCGGCGTGGCTTGGGTGTGCAGTGACCCTGCCTCTTCTTCCCAGCCCCCGCCCTTGGCTCAAACTGGAGTCCCCTCTGCACCACGGTGTCCGGGCTGGTCTCCCCCAGAGCCCAGGCTAGACCCTCCTTCCCTCTTGGTCTAGGCCAGGCACCCCCCTCTGGTGACCCAGGTGTGGTCCCCTTTCCTCCCCCCCACCCCCGGCCCGGGCTAGGTCCCCTTCCCCAGTTCCTACGACCCAGGGTAGGCCGTGGTTTCTTTCTGCCATGGCCCAGGCTAGGCCCCCCCTCCATGGTCCAGGGTAGGCCGCCGTCCCACCACTCCCTTCCCTTCTCCGTGACCTCAGCCTAGATTTGTTTCCCCTCTCCTCGTGGCCTCAGCCCGAGTCCTCTCTTCCCCCTATGGTCTTAAGTCTGGACCTCCCCTCCTCCGCCGGTGGCCCCCGCCTGGACCCCACTCCTCCCCCTCCCCCTATGGTCCCCTTTCCTGGACTTCTCACCACTTAGCGTAGCCTGCGTCAGCCCCGCTCCGTCCCTGGCCCTTCTCCTCCCACCAGGGCTCTGCTCCTTGCCCTGCCCACGACCCAGGGGTCGCCTTCCCTATACCTAGGGTGCGCCTTCTTTGCAGCCTGTGGGAAGCGACGGGGTCTTGGTGCTCGGCTTTCTCAGGCTTGAGTGCTTCCCCTTCTGGGGAAGCCGCCTGCGAGCGAGTGAGCGAGGCAAGGGCGGGCATTTGTGTGCCCGGAAGGCAGCGCGGCGCCCTGCGGGCTATTCCCGAGGCCTCTGCTTCTGAGCCCCTCGGTGCGGTGCGTGTGGAGCGTCCTGCTGGGCGACGGGTGCCCGTGGCTCCCTGGCCTGAGTGGGAGCACAGTGTGAGGGTGGGGGAGCCAACAGGACAGGCATGAACGCACAATCGCTCTTGTGAGGCTGTAGCCCTGGGGGGAGTCACCAGGCCCTGAGTCTAACATAGGGCCTGGACACACGATGCACCCTAGCAGGCGCAGCCTCCCTTTCCCTCTGAATTGTCAGCTTGTACGGGTTGGAACTGCTGATTATGGAGGTGCTTCGGATCAGGTGAGCGAAACTCCTAGGGGAGAGTTTGTTTTGGTAATGAAGGCAGGTGTTATCCCGGCATTTTGAGGAGCCTGGGGTTTCACATAGGCCCCCACACATAAGCCTGCCCTCCATTCACTTTGGAACGTTCTGCAGAGCAGGCCAGCACTAGGTTGGAAGAGCAGAGGACTTCTATCTCACCTGGCTAGGAAACTTTGGAGAATGGACTGTCAGAGCAAAGACCATCCACCTGCTGCTTCCGGGCCCTGTGTGGGGCTCCCCCGTCCAGGGCAGGCAGATGTTTGCATGTGGACTTTGGGCCTCAAAGGGTTTTGAGGATCCCGGTTCTTTGTTTAATTAAAGGATGTTGCTGCTGAACTAGGGTGACTAATTCAGATTGGCTAAGTTTTTTCTTGATGGCTTCCTTTATATTAATTACAAACCTGGACAATGTCATTTTTAATGCCTTTGGATTTTTCCAGTAGCATTGGCCAAAAACTGGTTGTGTGGTGGAGTGGTCCTGAGGGGACAGGTCCCCAGGCCTGAGTGGACAGGGTCATCCCCAGGACAGTTTTAGTTGAGGACTTTAAAAGTAGGCTCAAGTTTTGTAAGTGTACTCCCTGGGCAGAAGCAGGAGAGGAAGGATGGAGTGGCCAGGTGGGGCTGCTGAAAACAGTCTACCAGGCAGGGAGGGGTGATTCTCCATGTGTGGTGGGAAAGACCTCATAATGATCCAGGAGGAGCACATGACACCTGAGGCTTCTCAAGAGTCTTGTACTTGGCTCTCACTTAGACAATCTGAAAAGACTGGGAGCGGTGGAGGAAAAGGGCCTGCTCTCTGCCTGACACTGTGCAGATAGTGTGGTCCACCCAAAGCTTCTGAGGTATTTGCTGTCCCCATTTTACAGGTGAAGAAGCTGAGGCTCAGGAGGTGGAGTAACTAGTTCAAGGTGTTGCTCAGTCTGTGGAGGAACCACTGTTGGTCAGTGGAAGCACATCTGGCAGGCTCCAAACTGTGTTCTTCCCGTTGTACCAACTGCACATGCGTGGGAAGATATAATGACTGCCAAAAAACATAGTAATGGGATACTAAACATGGCAAGGGGGGAGCCGCATTTGTTGTCTACCGATTATGCGCTAGATCCTTTGCATAGGAAGTCTTGTTTAATGGTGACACAGTGTTGTGGAGCTAGCATATTTAGTGTGAGGCCAGAACATGAGCTCTTTGAGGACAGGGATTTTTGTCTTTTGTTTTCCATGGCTGCATTGCTGGCGCCTAGAACAGCACCTGGAACTGAAGGAAATGGCTTGGAGTGCTCTCTTTGGGATGTGTCTATGTCCATGAATTTAGCCACTTGGATTTCGTATTCATTCTCTCAGCTACTTGTTCTTAGTGTCCCCTAGGCTTATTAGTAATTTCTGACTGCTTATTGTCAAATTTATCACCTACTTGAGTACTCTGACTGTCAAACCAGTGTAGACAGTTGGGGTAGGACAAAAATGGTTTTTATTTTCAGTAGGTTTGATGGTAGAGAAAACAGCTAGATCTTAGTTATCTATCGAGGGAAATAGTGGTTTGAAAAACAGATGCATTTGACTTTGCAGTGAATTCCATGATTTCTGTTGGCTTCAATTTTTCTTTCTCGGTTAAGATGCATGGGCAAATGGAATTTATTTGCATTCCCTTAGGTAATAATCTTACCATGTCTGTAAGTGCTTTACAGTTTGAAAGCACTTTTCTTTACACAGCTCTAGCTTCTAACTTAGGAATCATTGTAACTTAGAATTATGACTCTGGTGCTTCATGGTGGGGCTGTAGCAGTGAAGGGTCCTGGGGAGGCCCCCTCAGAAGGAGTTGTTACTCCAGCTCACAGATGGTTTTGCCTGACAGGAGCTGATAGGAGCAGCCTGTCATATTGTTACAAGGTAAAACAATATAGTTGACAGGAATGTGTCTTGGCTGATCATCTAGAGTAGAAAATATGTATAGTTCATCTCAGACCCCACGTGTATATACAGCCCAACTGGCTGTAACCCAACTGAAACCCAACTGTCCTCTTTTTGGTGGAATGCTTGTAAAAAGTAGTCAACGATCAATAGCTTGAGATTAAGGAAATGATAAGCCATGCCTTTGAAAGCAGATATTTCTATTTATAACTCAGAAGTCCTATACTTCTACATTCCATGGAGGAGGGAAGAGGACAGATCACTGATAGCACAGGGATATAGTAGCAGGGCAGGTACCTCGACCATTAGAATCCTGCTTCCCAGGCTGGGAAATGCTCACTGTTAGGCAAACACAGAGGCATGTTAGGGGGTACTGATGCTACAGGATAACATTGATTCACAGTGTATATGTTAAGTGCATCTCTGCAGTGATGAGCAAGACAGACAAGGATCCATGCCCTCACAGCTTACATTGTTGAGGGGTGGGTATGTCCCTCTTACCTAAAGTTTAACGGAGAAAAGCTTTTTTTAATATAACTGCAACACACTTGCATAAGCTACAGCAGGAAACTGAAGAGAAAGTTGGGGCTTTTACCAGGCTCAACCTCCAGGCCTCTTGGGGTGTGTCTGCCATCGGGGTGGAAGTGGATTGTACTATGCATGCACTCTATTCATCTGCACACGTGAAGCTCTCTCCCACCCAGGAATGAACCTTGCAGTGCTGTGGAAGGCCAGCCCTTCCAAGCTAGTAGCTACCGTCGACCGAGGATCTCCTGTGATCCAGAAATGTGACTTAGGTTATAGCTCAGCCCCCGTTTTACTTCCAAGGAATCTGAAGCTCAAGAGGTTGAGTGACCAGTATGAGTGTCAGGCCTGGGACTCAGATCCAGGTCCCCTCACTCCTGTGCCGGACACTTGTTCTGTTTCTCAGAAACAGCAGTAGAGCCGTGAGTACAGGATTTTGTCCCATTTCCCCCTGCAGCAGATCCCTCAGTGAGGGCGGGATATGGAAGCCCAAAGGACGCAATTACAAGATCACCCATATCAGGACCACCTAGAGCAATGCCCATATCCAGACCTCGGATTTTACAGCTGTTTCAGTGCAAGAAGATGGAGACTTAATATTTATGGGGTGCTAGCCATGTACCCCACACTCTGCTAGAGGCTGTAGCCCACTGACTTGTCCTTGCAACTGCCCAACAAAGAAGGTAGGCAACATGGTATAAGTTAGATTTAGGAGCAAGATTGCCCTCAGATAACAATAGTACCTCCTTATAAGGGTCTTTTGAGAGTTAAATGAGATAATACATGTCAAGTGCTTTGAACAGCTTTTGGCACATAATTATATAAATGTTAACTGTTATTATTGTCACCATTTTCCAGATGGGTGCTGAGAGGGGTATATGGTTAGTCCCTGTATAGCTGCTAAGTGGAGGAATTGAGTTTTCTAACTCCAGAGCAAACCCCTTTCCTCCACTCCTGACTGCCTGCTGATTGCTGCTTTGAAGTTTGCTTAGTTTTGGGGTGTGCTGTGAATGGAGAACTTCCCTAAAAGAGCCTGAGGCTCTGTTCTCACTGAAGGCAGGCTCCCTGTGAGCTGGGTACCATGAGTTGGTTGCCAGAGGCACATGCTGCGTCTTGGGTCCGGATGCCTTGTCTGTGCCAGCTGGAGGTTCCTTGCCCTCTTCTGGGCTTGGTAGAAGTGAAACAGGACTGGGGACAGAGAGTATGAGCTTCATGAGAGCAGGGATGTTGTTTGGCTCCTGCAAACCACCTCATACCTTGCACTGGCCGCCTGGCACTCAGCAGGTGCTTCATAAACACTGAATGAA